TAAATGGAGTTGCCCCAACTATAACCCTACTTATGACCGACTTACTAAGTCCCCTGGGCATCTAAGTAAGGCCTCAGCTCCCCCAAATCCTATGCAAGCCCAAGCTTAGGCACCCAAATCTCAAACGGGAAAAGGAGGGACCGTTAATGGGGACCCCTACCCTATGATGGGCTTTATGATGGGTATATAATGGCTATATTACGGGTATATACCTAGGGGTCCTTATTTAGGGGTCCCTCCTTTTACCCTTTGAAAATCCTTAAATCCCAAGGCCCGGAGCCTCTATAGACCCCCTGCCCCGATCCCTTAAACAAGAAAGGCTTCGGTTTATCTTAGGGTTTAGGGTTGTGTTTTAGAGTTTAAATCCCTTAAGCAAGAAAGGCTTCGGTTTATCTTAGGGTTTAGGGTTGTGTTTTAGAGTTTAAATCCCTTAAACAATAAAGGCGTCGGTTTATCTTAGGGTTTAGGGCTTTTTTTATATAGAGAGTTTAGGGAACAGACCCCTCCGACCCTTAGGCCTGTCAACCCTAAGTTTATTACAGGGTTTAGAGAACAGACTCATCCCGACTCTTAGCCCTAACTAAACCCTAAACCCTACACCCCTAAACCCCTAAACCCTAAACCCGTAAACCTACACCCCAAATCGCTACACCCCTAAACCCTAAACCCGTAAACCTACACCCTAAACCCCTCCTAAACCCGTGAACCCTAGTAGGTTTGTTCTTCCAGCGGCGGCAACCCTTCCTGGACACTGCCACGGACAGTTCGGGGTGGTGTTTGGGCGGGGGGGGGGGGGTTAAGGGTCTACTGTTTAGGGTTTAGGGTTTACGGTTTAGGGTTTAGGGGGTCTCAGGTTCTCTCTCAGGCAAAGCTTTGGGCCTGGGGTTCGGGGTTTAGGCTTCAGGGGGCAAGGGATGGGTGGCCACCAAACATTGTCCATAAACTTTGTCTGGGCCAACAGGGTTCATTCCAGAGATAGTTCCTTGCAACGTTTAGCGATTTTTTGTACACCCCGAAGATTCGCAGTCCGTATGGTTCGCAGATCTGCAGCCTCATGCTTAGTTATTTACACACAGCACTCTGCACTTGGATGTTTAGCTCATCGGATATCAGCAGAGAACTTCGCCTTCGCGTGTTTTTGGGGGAGGGTTAGTTAGAGAGCTAACCAACTAAGCAGTTAAGCACATTCTTACTAGCCCCTATGTAACTAGACTGAAACATTCCTTAAAACCGTTTTCTCATGTTCCGGGGCTCTCATGTTTCCAGTTTAAGTGAAGTTAAGTGAAAGCACAGCAGCACCCAGGTAGACGGCCACACATGTGTAGGAGCACAAGGTACGCCAGAGAAAGAAAAAGAGAGAAAGAGAGAGACATGGAGGGAGGTAGAGAGGTAGAAGAGAGAGAGAGAGAGAGAGAGAGAGAGAGAGAGAGAGAGAGAGAGAGAGACAGAGAGAGAGGGAGACAGAGTTTTGACTCAGCGTGTAACATTGCAAGTATGGGCTTTCGGCTCTCTTCCCTCGGTCTTTCAACTGACCCCTTGCTTGTACCCCTAATCAGCAAAGTTAATTTGGGCTTGACGAATTTTTGAATCGTCTTCGGAGCATTTCCGGATGCAATTGCCTGCCGAAGATGGTCTTCAATATTGGCGGGTCTCGTATCATGACGTCTGCGACCCCCAAAAACCCCGCAACCCAAATCAAAATGCTCCATGCCAAGCATGTGTACTGGGTACAGTGTTATGGACTTATGGACTACGCTAATTAGTGCAAACTTGCCTGCAGACCGCAGGACCATCCTCAAGCTGGCAGGTTTTTTTCACACAGCTTCTACAACCATGAGCCAACTCTAAACCCCCTTAACCTTAGGGAAGGCTCAAAGGACTCATATATTGAGGCTTTTGGGCCCAAAGACTATACTATGTAAGGCTTTTGGGCCATTTTGAGCCTTAGGGCTTAAAGCCTAAAGCCTCAAAGCATTAAGCCCTAATCCTCACACCGGCCTTGTCGAAGCTTGAACAACGCGTTTAGAAACCGTTGAAAAACTTTGTCGAATGCTGTAGCAGCCGTGGTTACAGGACTGTGATGAGGAGGAGCTGGGCTTACTGGCTTTTTCCTGACACCAGCTTCACAACGTTTCACGTAGAACACGTACATTGCATTTCTTGACTCGGAGAAAGGTTCATAAAGGGTTCATGTAGTCTAAGGGTCCCTAAACCCTAAACCCTGTATAGAATAGAACCCTTATGGATCCCTTTAAGGGTCCCTTTTCTTTAATCAGGTTTCTACATTAGGGAGTTATCTGAAGTAGGGTTGATATGGGGCTGGGGAAGCTTCGGGGGTTTCATGCATGTCCTACTTGGAGGTCCATGGGTAGTTAAATAGGGTTATATATATATAGGATAACTATACTTATAACCCATATTAGGGGACTTACAACTCTACTTTTGACTATAGGATAACCATACTTATAACCCATGTTAGGGGGCTTATGACTCTACTTATAACTACCCATGAACCTCCAAGTGCGGTTTGGGTTGTATTGCTTAGCTGATTGGCTCCCAGAGTGCAGCGTTGCTGGGAGAAAGAATCTGTACCTGGATGCCAGGGATCAGGGTCCCGCCCGTTTGGTGGGAGGCTAGTTGGTTGGAGTCACGAGTTGGGTACAGGTTTAGAGCAACGCTAAACTCTTGTGAGGGTCTGAGGTTCAGTGGCTTCGCCTTTATGTTCAGGAGTTCAGGATTTGGGCTATGAGCGCTTCGGGCTTACTGTTTCGGAATCTAAACCCTAGGCCCTAAACCCCAAACACTGAACCTTAAACCTCAAATTCATCCGGGGTTCACTAGGTAGGATTGTGGGACAGTTTTTCCTTATTTGGGTTTATAATCGGACCCTATCTATAAATATTTTCAGTGTGTTTAAAGGCCAACCCAGTTCCATTGAACAGTATTAGGACTTTCTGGCACCTCTAGGGCCAGGACATATCATATAGCTCCTACCCCAGAGACCCTAAGCCCTATGGTGTCCCTAAGTATTAAGCTATGAGGTACCTAGGACGATTGCGGGAAAAGTCTGTCTTTGAAGCAACACGGGTAGGTGTTGCTTGTGAGGCATCCTGGAGGCGCAGGTAACAACAATGCACAGGCACTTTACCAATAACCTTGTCCTCCGTCAAATCATGCGGGCAACTCGACACCTTGAGAGTACATCTTTCATCTGTCTGGTGCTTGGTAGGGAATAGGGGAATGGATTATGGGGATTACTATTGGGGATTACATGGGGACTACTATAGGAATCCATTCCCCCATTCCCTACTAAGCACGAAGGAGTTCTCTATGCAGAAAAGTATGAAATGAAGATCTGCAGGCAGGGATCAAGCTGAGTCTTCAAGGCTTTGGGCTTTGGGCGTCGTTCCAGGTATCACGATTACGTCGGCGGCTACTTATTGCACGTGGAAAGCCGATGACAAGGACCATGGGTGTGGCCTTTGCCTTAGACATGACATAAAGCACTAGGATGCCCAGTAGTACCCTTATTCCCTTTTTGTAGTCCTAGGTTCCCTACAGTATAAAGTTACCCAGCACCAAGAAGGGAGCCCATGTTTTCCTAGGTTACTGGGCATCCCAGGACAAGATGTGCACCCTCATTGCTACTGCCTGAACTCTCAACCTCGAATCCTCAATCCCACACACCCTGACGACCCAAAGCCTTTGAGCTCTAAGGAAGCCCTCTTCAAAAATCTACGCTGAGGCCCGTAGACCAAGAGATGAATAAACACAGCTTATATATGTGCCTACAATAAGTCGAAACCCTCAGGGCTTCGGGTTTAGTGATTTAGAGTTTGGGCTTTATGTCGCCGTCGCCAAATTAAGGGTCTCTTTTCTATGTCACCACAATGGTACGGCACCCTGATTCACAGACTCTAACAAGTACGCCTAATTTCGAGAACTGCCAATATGGAGAGTCGATAATTGTTTCATGGTTTAGGGTTCAGTGTTTAGGGTGTAAAGTCCCTATGCCTGTTCGGCTTTAAAACCTACCTCGTCTCAAGAGTTTCTAGAAAATAAGCACCCCGCATACAAGCTAAGCTTGAAGCAGTAGAATTTCCATGTGAAGAACCCCAAGAGCCTACAAGTATGGAAACCTTACATTGAAAAGACGTGTCCTTGTCGCATTCTTCCTCTCATTTACAAACCGTGAAACCTCAAATTCCCACAGCCCTTAACACCAAAACCGCAAAAACCCTAAAAGCCAAACTAAAACCCGAAAGACCCGACCTGGTAGCAGGATTTTCACATGAACCTCATCGACACCCCCGGCCACGTCGACTTCACCATCGAGGTTAGGCTTTGGGCTTTCGGGCTTGGGGTCGGCATGTGTCGCCGTCATACGGTTGATGATATAAATCCTGCATTACCTTAAAGACCCTAAAGTATGGGAACTATGGTATATTCCCTATTAGGGGTGATGCAGGATTTATATCATCAACCGTACATACACTTATATACGAACCCTTGGGTGTAGGGACCCCTTGCAGTGCATTGACATCCACGGAATGCTGAACCCTAAACCCTCAAACCTAGATCCTGAACAATCCTAAACCCTAAACCATGCTATAGGATGCTATAGGGGTCCTAAACCTGACGCATCGAAGGTTAAGCCTAAACTCTAGAACATGTTGAATCTGTATAAGCGCCCCGCCCAAGGCTTTCACAACCATGACATGCCTCAAAGTCACAGTTGTACAACCATATGCTCATATATTTATATAAGAACATGTAACTAAAATATGAATAAAGATATACATGAAACGGACACGTTAAAACAATGAAGCAGCAGATATGCTTGTATATATATATATATATATGATTATACATAAAAAGATAGATCGATAGGTACATAGATAGATAGAGAGATAGCGAGAGCTGCAAATGCCCAACATACTATTGTCTTGGACCGACATCCGAAGGTGGAACGTGCTCTCCGCGTCCTGGATGGCGCGGTGATGATCTGCTGCGGCGTCGGGGGTGCCGCTGGGCGAAAGACGGTTGAGGGTGTAAGGGTGCACGCGCAAGGGTTCTAGAAGATTTCTGCAAGGCTTTATTTCAGCTTTACTAGATTATTACCTGGCCCTAAGAACTTTTATCCGTTTTTGGGGAGGCTCTTGGATTGTCAGGCGACAACCTCAATCCCGAAGCCCCTTCAACACCCAAACTCCTAAACCCCTAAACCCACATCGGTGACACGTGTTCAAGGCTCTCGGTTTACAGCAGTGAGGGTGTCGGATGTTCAACATTGGGACATAGTTTCAGAGAACAGGCGACCTAATGTGGGAACCTGATTAAGAAGCCCTGGGGCTATAACCCCAAAATAGTAGGATTCATCTAAGGAACACGAATAAAGGCCCAAGGTTTCTCAATCAGGTTCCTACGGTACTCCGTAAACCTCAAATCATGCAACCTACGCCTGTAACTAAAATCCCAACTCCTCTTACGAGGACATTCATTTGAATAGCACCCATACAGGAAAGGGTTTTTCTTGTGTGTGTAATACAGGGGCCTTATTTGTTACCTAAACTATTTTGGGGGTTGCTTATTATTTAGAATTATAGTGTAGCGTGCCCCAAAACCCTACTCGAAATTTTAAGGCCCCTATGTTACTGATTAAGTATTGGCCATCAGCGACCAAAGCTGGATTATGCTCAAAGCTTCCGAAGTCCCCAAAGCTTCAACGGTCGCAACTTTTCCAAAGGTTCCAAGTAGTACGGTTGCATAAGTCCTGCATTACCTTTATGGCCCTACACTATGGGAACCATGGTAATTCCTGACTATGGATAACGCAGGGTTCATATCATCAACCGTAGTATAGTATATACCTTGGGTACCCAAATAGATAGTAAGTACCCACTATATTGGTACTTGGACCCTTTGGGTTTGGGTTCTATCCTAGGCTTTGAGTGGAACCTAAATAGCTAATATGGGGACCTGAACAATTAGAATAGGGTTTCTGGGTCTACTATGCTGTGGTTACAATAAGGAGCACCAAAAGCAGGATAGGTAATCATTGTTAAAGCCCCTATATTAGAGCGTCGGACTTCTAGCCAGCGCTTTGTGCCGAGGTTCAAAGCCAGACGATCACCGTGGACCGGCAGATGAAGCGATATGAGGCACTCCAGCCTGAACCCTACACCCTAAACACTAAACCCTGAACCCTTAACCCTACACTCTCCTGAACCGTCCTCCTAGGGTTTCGGATTTCCCCGTATAGTTCCTAAGAAGCCCTTTCTAGGGTTTCGGATTTCCCCGTATAGTTCCTGAAAAGGTGTCATATTAGGCTTTTGAGATCTAAGGCCAACCCCACACACGGCCTGAACCCTTGTTGCACATAGCCCGAATTCCGAGGTGGAAAAATCGGGCCTTACCCCCAAGGCGTGCTGGCGGCACAGAATCCAAATCCGTGCACCCCAAAGCACACCATCCGAGCAGCTGAACTCACAAGTCCAAACCTTTACCTTTCAACGCAGATTCGAATGCCAAGCCAAGATTGGCCAAGATGTTTCTGAAATCGTCAGTAGTAGATGTGCACCATATTCCCCAAGCGGTGCACACCTTCAACCCTGAAGCCTGTTCTAGCCTGACACAGAAGCCTGAATGAATACCCACGTATTCCTAAGGGTTGTTCATCATACATACTTGTACAAAACACTTCGCGAGGTGCCTCGTGTCGTCTTCATCAACAAGCTGGATCGCTACGGCTCAGACCCTTTCTTGGCGCGGGGCCTGGCGTTTGGGCTTCATGGTCAGCATAGATTTAGGCCTGGAGAGTGAGGATTTGAAAACATATGCGTGTGTATTATGTGTTATGTTATACATGCATGTATGTATGATAAGTGTATATATATATATATATATATATATATATATATGTGTGTGTGTGTAAACAAATAAACAAACCCTCGCACCGTAGTTGAAATATTACTGCTTCGATACTCTGTCTCGCTTTTGCAGCTCACCCAGAATTTCAACTATCTGTTCTACGGGCTCCTTGCCTGGAGTCGTGTGGGTGCTGGTACATAGTTCCTGGGGCATATCGAGTAGGATTTGCATCTCGAGCGTTTCGGGTGTTGGGTCACTGCAACGGCCCCGGGCTGGTTTACCAAACCCTAGCCTATATCCAAAGCCCTTAACTTAGGGACCCAAAAGGACATAAGCATAAGCATGTTTTGGGGATATCCCTACCTGATTGGGCTTCAGTCTAAGGGGGCTTATCTAGGACATCGCAATTAGATCTGCTTAGGTGCTTTTTGGGCGCCCTAGTAACCCTAATCCCTATACACCCTAAACCCTAAAGGAAAAGCCAGAAAGTTGGAATATGATTATCCTAAACCCTTTATGGTAAATTACAAGGTATCCTACCCTGAAACCATATTCCAACTTTCTGGAGTTCGCTTTAAAGCGCAGTAGGATCCCAGAAACCTGAACTGCGGAACACCACAAAGGATTCCCCACCCCGGTTTAGGGTTTAGGGTTTAGGGTTTAGGGTTTAGGGTTTAGGGTTTAGGGTTTAGGGTTTAGGGTTTAGGGTGCGGCATAGGAATTCAGGGTGGAGGGCCTATTTTTGTCGCCATTATTTTTCTGCTTCTGCTGCCATTCTTTTTTTTTTTTTTTTTTTTTGGCCCTGGGCCCTGTTACTCTCATACTCTTATACTCTAGTACTCTATGACTCTATTACTCTATTACCGTATGACTCTATTACTCTCTTACTCTCAAAGCTCTATTACTCTAGTACTCTATTAGTCTATTACTCTGTTACTCTATTACTCTATTACTCTATTATTATATTACTCTATTACTCTATTGCTCAAATACTCTATGACTCTATTACTCTATGACCCTATTACTCTTATACTCTTACTCTATTGCTCTATTACTCGATTACTTTATTACTCTAATACTCTGTTACTCTACTATTCCATAATCTTTATTTATTACTCTATTACTCTATCTACTCTATTTCCTCTATGACTCTATTACTCTATTACTCTATGACTCCATTACCTCTTACTCTAAAAGCTCTATTACTCTAGTACTCTATTAGTCTACTACTCTGTTACTCTATTACTCTATTACTCTATTATTCTATTACTCTATTACTCTACTATTCTATTACTCCATTACTCTATTATTCTATTACTCTATTACTCTATTACTCAAATACTCTAGTACTCTATTAGTCTATTATTCTGTTACTCTATTGCTCTAATACTCTATTATTCTATTACTCTATTACTCTAATACTCTATTACTCTACTACTCCATTAACTCTATTTATTACTCTATTACTCTATCTGCTTTATTTCCTCTATGACTCTATTACTCTGCTACTACCCCTACTCCTACTACTACTACTACTACTACTAATACTGCTATTGTATTGTTACTGGTACTGCTAATGTTTTTTTTTGTTTTTTTTGCCCTCGGCCCTGTTACTCTATTACTCTAATACTCTATTACTCTATTACTCTATTAGTCTATTACTCTATGACTCTATTACTCTATTACTCTGTTACTCTTACTCTATTACTCTAGTACTCTATTACTCTTTACTCTATTACTCTAGTACTCTAGTACTGTATTACTCTATTACTCTAGCACTCTACCACTCTATTACTCTATTACTTTATTAGAGAGGAATACTGTAATAGAGAAATAGAGTAATAGAGTAATAGAGTAGTAGAGTAAAAGAGTATTAGAGTAATAGAGGCAAAGAGTAATAGAGCAATAGAGTAATAGAGTAATAGAGTACTAGAGTACTAGAGTAATAGGAGTAAAAAGTTATAGAGTAGTAGAGTAAGAGTACAAGAGTAATAGAGTAATACAGTAATAGAGTAATAGACGAATAGAGTAATAGAGCAATAGAGTATTAGAGTAATAGAGTAACAGGGCCGAGGGCCAAAAAACAAAAAATGACATTAGCAGCACCAGTAACAGTAGCAATAGCAGTATTAGTAATACGAGTAGTAGTAGTAGTAGTAGTAGGAGTAGGGGTAGTAGCAGAGTAATAGAGTCATAGAGTCATAGAGGAAAGAAAGTCGATAGACTAATAGAGTAATAAATAGAGTTAATGGAGTAGTAGAGTAGTAGAGTAATAGAGTAATAGAGTAATCGAGTACTAGAGTAATAGAACAATACAGTATTAGAGTAATAGAGTAACAGAGTAATAGACGAATAGAGTACTAGAGTATTTGAGTAATAGAGTAATAGAGTAATAGAATAATAGAGTAATAGAGTATTAGAGTAATAGAGTAACAGAGTAATAGACTAATAGAGTACTAGAGTAATAGAGTAATAGAGCCTTTAGAGTAAGCGAGTAATAGAGTCATAGGGTAATAGAGTCATAGAGTCATAGAGCAATAGAGTAGTAGAGTAATAGAGTAATAGAGTAATAGAGTAATAGGGTAATAGAGTAATAGAGTAATAGAGTAATAGAGTAATAGAGTACTAGAGTACTAGAGTACTAGAGTACTAGAGTACTAGAGTACTAGAGTACTAGAGTAATAGAGTAATAGAGTAAAGAGTAATAGAGTAATAGAGTAAGGGTATAACAGTAATAGAGTAATAGAGTTAATAGAGTAATGGACTAATAGAGTAATAGAGCAGTAGAGTATTAGAGTAATAGGGTAACAGGGCCGAGGGCAAAAAAAACAAAAAGAAAAAATAGCAGTACCAGTAACAGTAGCAATAGCAGTATTAATAGTAGTAGTAGTAGTAGTAGTAGTAGTAGTAGTAGTAGGAGAAGGGGTAGTAGCAGGGATTAGCAGGGTAATAGAGTCATAGAGTCCTAGAGTCATAGAGGAAATATAGTAGATAGAGTAATAGAGTAATAAATAGAGTTAATGGAGTAGTAGAGTAGAGTATTAGAGCAATAGAGTAATAGAGTAATAGAGTAATCGAGTAATAGAGCAATAGAGTAATAGAGTACGAGTATAAGAGAAAAAGGGTCATAGAGTAATAGAGTAATAAAGTTTTTGAGTAATAGAGTAATAGAGTAATAGAATAATAGAGTAATAGAGTAATAGAGTAACAGAGTAATAGACAAATAGAGTACTAGAGTAATAGAGTAATAGAGCTTTTAGAGTAAGAGAGTAATAGAGTCATAGGGCAATAGAGTAATAGAGTCATAGAGTAATAAAGTATAAGAGTATAAGAGTATGAGAGTAACAGAGTAACAGGGCCCAGGGCCAACAAAAAAAAAAAAAAAAAAGAAAAATAATGGCAGCAGAAGCAGAAAAATAATGTGACCAGATATTCTCCGCCCCTATTCAGGGTCCAAGGTTCAACGGTTTGGGCTTAGGGTCCACTCTCTCCACTGCTTGGCTCAGGTCCTGGGACAGATTCGCAAGAAACTTGGCCGGGAGCTCGTAAGGTTTCTGATGCATTTGTAATACGGTTGATGATATAAATCATGCACTACCTTAAGGACCCTAAACTATGGGAATTATGGCATATTCCTTATTTTGAGTAATGCAGGATTTATATCATCAACCGTAGCATTCCCTTACTGGGTCTCCCAGTGGGCCCTTTCTCCCTTTTTGCGGCCTCTTAGGTTCCTGGTACTATTCAAAGGGATTCCTAGGCCACTGAGGATCCTAGCCTGTCATCCTTCGCCATTTCATATAACCGGGAACCCCCCGCGAGGGCCCTTTAAAAGTGCCCTTGTGGCCCTTAATAGTGGGTATTTTGTGTTTTTTAGGGGGGTTCTGGGAAGGTCGCCCTTTCTAAGTAGAACCAGGCAACGGCAAAAGGGATCTGGTCTTTTCTCAGCGACCCCACCAGCCCGAGGTCTGACGTGTCAGCCGGTGCAGCTGCCCATTGGGGAAGAAGACAACTTCACAGGCGTCTACAGGGTAAGGGTTTGGGGCCCAGGGTCTACCCATACGCCCCATGGTAGTTCCTTTTTGGAATTAGCTTGTAGGATTCTAAATATGAACCCCAAAAAGGCCCATGGGTAAGGTTTCAGAGTCCAGGAGTTTTGCGGATTGAGGGTCTCGGGTTTAAGGGTTTCGGGGTTAGCTTTCAGGTTTTAGAGCTTAACCAGGACCCTCCTTGTACCCTCAAATGGGGGTATATGGTCTCAAATAAGGGGCATTTAGGGTCTAGTAGAGGGTAGATGGAGGGTCTAGGTAGGGTTTGAGGATTTGGAGTTTAAAGGTTCTCACGGTTTTTAGCGTTTAGGGTTTCAAGGGTTTGAGGCTGTAATGATTGCTACAGAGTTAGCCTTGCTGGGGTGCCAGTTTCAGCCTTTAAGGGTTTAGGGGTTTAGGGTTTCGGGGTTTCGGGTTTAGGGTTTGGAGGATCCTCCAACAAGGCGGCTTTTGAGAAGAGGCTTAGGGTTTAGGGGTTCAGGGGTTCAGGGTTTAGGGGTTTAGGGGTTTAGGGTTCAGGGTGGAGGTGTATCCTTGGGTATGGTGGCTTTCAGAAGTATGCCGGGCTTCTTTCTTGGAACCTTTATTCCGCGTAGGCTTGAGGCCATTTTTTGTGGTTTAGGTGTGTCCAGGATGCGAAGGTATTGGGATTCAGGATCCGGTTTAGGGTTTAGGGTTTAGGGATCGATAGATTCATGTAAAGCGCTGAGGTCTCGTGAAAAGCGACCTGAGGTTTCTCGGCTTCGAGCGTTGAGGTTTAGGGCGGTGGAGCTTCAGGGTCGGGGATTGCGGTCTGCAGCTTTTTGCCCCATGTTCGTGGAGTTTTGTGGGCTGGAGAGTTGGGGAATTTCAGGGCTGGCGTCGGAATTCAAACTGGTTTCCACACCTGCAGCCTGGCTTGCCTGCCGCACGGTTTAGGGTTTAGGGGTTAGGGTTTTGCAGGCCTCAACAGCGCATGCTAACAGTACGGCTGTACGTACTCTTCATTGTAGTTCCGTTTTTTCACTAGTTCAGTACTTTGGATCCTGCAAGGTAACCCAAAACAGGAACTACAATGGAGATCGTAGATGGTATCGGGGCCTTCGTAGTTACCCCTATAGGCCCAACATTAGCTCCTTTTCGGATCACCATTTCGAATTCTATACATATGAACCCCCAAAAAGGAACTACAATGGGGCCTTAGTAGTTAGAACATGGTTTCCGGTTCCTTTTTGTGGTTCAACCAAGTCTGTAGCTAGGAGCCTATAGGGTAACCCCGGAAGACTGAGACTATAGGTATAGCCTATAAACTTAAACCCTAAATCATAGATCCCAATACCTAGCCTTTAAACTTTTAACCTTTTGTTTCTGTGGCTTTTTGGCGTACTAAGAATCCGTAAACACTATATAGCCTTGGGGCACTCCTTCCTGCCCCAGGCTTGTGCGACCTCGTGGCACAGAAGGCCGGAACCGGGGGCGCGACGCACGATCCTGTCGAGATGGGTGTTTTTTTCAGCTCTGGGGCCTGCAAGCATGGGCATGTTGCAGGTCTATATGGTCCAAAAAGGCCGAGTTTAGGGAGTACGGCGCTTTTGGAAATATATAGCTGGTTCACTGCGAATATATGGTGGCTGGTCAACCCAAACCTGAAGCTTGCAAGGGCTGTGGCGTCTTGGCTCGAGATCGAGAGGTGTTAGCCCTTGCAAGCCCTGAACTGCAATAGCATGAACTGGCCCTGAACTGCAAAACTCTGCAAAGCCCCAGAGCCTGCCTGAAAGCCAAACCCTAAAGCCTGCAGCCGCACAGCTCTACAACCCTACGCAGCAAAGCAGGCCAGCTTCTTTGAAGGAAAGGACGGCATCAGCTGGGTCCTCGGCTTTGGGTTGAGGTTTGGCGTCTACGACTGTGGGGGTTATTCAATAGGAACCATCAGTATCCTTAGTAGTAGCAGCCGGGTGTAAAGGACCCCTTTAAAAGGATTCCACCACGCACACGAGATCCTTCTGCCTTAGGTTTGGGGTGCAGGCTTGGCAGCTCAAGGTTCGCGATTAAGGGCTTGCGGTTTAGGAAACCCTAAACCCTTAACCCTAAACCCTAAACCCATGTGGTTTCTGAGGCTCGAATGCTGTACTTGTTGCGATGCAGGCCGCAGGCGGAGCCAGGTTTGGGGGTTCCCCTAAACGCCCAACACTCTAAATCCTAAACCCCTAAACGCCCTAAACGCCCTACACCCTAAACCCCTAAACGCCCTAAGCCCTGACCTAAACCTAAACCCGAAACCTCAAACTTGGATAGGAGCCTGTAGTCGAGGACACAAGCCAGCATATACGGGTTACTATGAGGGGTATTATGAGTTTAGGGTTCATGGTTACAGGGTTATGGGGTTTAGGGCTCAGGGTTACAGGTTTTTTTTTTCAGGGAGGCCATACTGTACCCTGGAGGAATGAAACTCTAGGGTCATGCTGGGCAGTCGGAGCCACAGGTAACACCCCAACCCCGACCCTTAATGGGGGTTCCTATAAGGTACCCTTAGTATAGTAGAGGGCCCCAAACTAGGGGATCTACTTTCTAGATTTTCTCGGGGGTTCTGGCGAAACCAGCTCCACACCCCATCCTGACTGAAGCATTCTCAGTGCAATTAGCCACCGATCCGGTTCGTCTCCATCCTGACATTCAACGGCCGAGTCAAAATACAGGAAGCCTTCGCTACGACATGAGTTAAATCTCAAACTAGAACCCCCGGAAACCTTTGTTTTTCGCAACGCCTCAAGGTCGGCGCATAGCCGAAATTCCGGAAAACATGAAAGAGAAGGCTCGGGAGAGTAGCGACTGGGATATGGGCTTCCACGGCCTGTTTGTGCTTCATGAAGAAACCCCTAAAGTTTCACATCATCTTATGATCGGTCTGCAAGAGGGTTTAGGGTTCAAGTACATGTGCAGAAAATTCTCGGGCCCACGACTTTAGGACCTAAGATTGTATGCCATGCAAGTACATGGGCCCTCAGGGCCGCACTTCGGATGCCCAAGACTGGACCCTAACCAAACGGTAGCAGGTCTTGCCATTCTTAGGGGCCCAAGCAAGCACATGAGCACTAGCATTTTATGGGGATATCCGTGCCTTACTAGGCTTCATGATAAGGGGGTTTGTATGGGATATCCCTACCCTAATTTTGGCTTCATTTGCACTGCACCCGCTACCTAGCTCAAAGTTGTTCCATCACTCCTCCTAAAGTCGTATATACCTAAACCCTAAACCCTAAAGCCTATACCGCAACCAAAGGCACCATGTCCTTTGGATGTGCTAGGACTTGTGACTTACCCCAGGGATCCTTTCGAGACCTTGCACACTTATTATGGGTGGTTGTCAAAATTATGGTTCCTTTTTGGGTCCCTATTTTAGTACGGCACCTAAGATTTAGGGTGCCCAAAAAGGAACCATAATTTTGACAACCATCCTTATGATAATTGGCCTTGTGGAGGCCTGAGGAGAACTGTAATGTGACCTACATAACTCATTATATACACCCCTAGGTCCGATTACTTTATAGAAGTCTAAATCACAACCTCCAGAAGGAGCTACTATGGGGCCGATGGGTAAAGCTATATATCTCGCTATGACCTATATAGGACCCTACACCAAAACTTAAGCATTGTCAGCGAATCTTAGCAGTGCTGCGGTTTTTGTTGCTTTGAGGGTTTTGGTTAAGGGCTTTGGCTGCAGAGGCAACTCTCGGGGTTTAGGAATTTACGGGCTTCGCTATCGAAAGATTCCAGTGCAGGTCGCGGAGCACCGCGCCAATCTGCTAGAAACCTTGGCGGACGTGGACGACGAGTTTGCAGAGGCCCTGAGAGCTGTCAGGTTTGAGAAATGGGAGGAGTCTAGAACCCCCTTAACCCAAAAACCGTAAACCTTAAACCCTAACCCCTAAACTCCTAAAGGCTGTAGTAGTGTAAGCCCGACTACGCGTTCCTTTGAAGGCTTGAGGGTGTAGGAATATCTTGGTTCAGGAGAGGCAGTGTCGCAAACGCTCTCAACCGCCAAGTCCTCCTTGTTTTGGGACTTCAGGGCCCTAAACCCATGAATAAGGTCTGCCTGGACCAAAGCCTGAAGCCGTAAACCAGACGCCCTCTCAGCAATCCAGGTTCATTGCAAACATGGAAGGTCGGAGGTGGCCAGAATCTACGGATACATGTGCTTGTGCACAGCTGCAGTGTAGAAGTGCTTGTTGGTGACTCCACTTGCACATGAAGTCGAAAGCAGCAAAGCCCATAACGCCTGTGTTCGTCAAGTATCATAACTCACATAGGGGAAGAGACTATTAATTGCACCTCAGCTTGCTCCTGCCCGATCTCTAAACCATGAACCTTGATTCCTGAACCCCCAAAGCCCTAAATGCTCCAGATTTAGCAGTAAATCCCCCAAAGTCCCATAGGTTCGTAGGGTAACTGCTCCGATCTGCAATGAGGGACATGAAAAGATCTTTTCCGAAGTAGCAACCCATGCAAAAGCCATAGTACCTCTGATAAGTAGCCCCCAAGCTTCGCAGATCTTCTTGGAGAGTGAAGACATTCCGGAAGATGCCATTCATGTCCGAGCACTCGGCAGGGCTTGATTCGTGAGTTGGAGGGACAATGGGCTTAGAGTTCTTGCGCGTTGGTGTGTTTCCTAGACTCTATCTATTTGTTGAACTGTCCGTCTACCTATCTGTCTATCCGTCTTTCGACGCATCCATCTCTCGATTCATCGATGTCTCGGTCGGTCGATCGATCTGTCGTTCTATGTGTATATTTATTACTAGGATGCCCAGTAGTACCCTTATTCCCTTTTTGTAGTCCTAGGTTCCTTATAAAGTTCCCAATACCAAAAAGAGAGGCCTTTTTATTCTCAGGTTACTGGGTATCCTAGTTATCTATTCGTTTATCCATCCAGCTAGCAAGCTAGCTAGCTGGCTAGCTACTTGAAGCGAGCTAGCCCTAGCTACCTACGTACCTATCTGTCTCACTCTGTGCCTTGCTCTCTGCCTCTGCACCTATCTATGGAAGCTCCACCAGTCTCTGGCATTCAGTCTTTCTGTCCTTCTTTATTTATGTCTCGCTCTCCCTCTCTCCGTCTGTCTATCTGTCTATCTGTCTATCTACTTATCTTTTCGTCCTATCTGCCTGTCTGCCTGCCTGCTTGCCTGTCTGTCTGTCTATCTGTCGATCTATTCTAGCTGCTATGGCAAAGCCCCCGGCCCTGTTTTGTCATTATGGCCCTCTGTGGCGGAACCCTAAACCCTAAACCCTAAACCCTAAACCCTAAACCCTTCTCTGAAACCACGAACCCCCAGAGCCCTCTTCCATCTTCTAAGTCCTTCTCTTCTGAGATCCCCTGGGGCTTGGGTACTATACGGGCAGGGTTCTTTTAAAGGGGTCTATAAGGGCTATTATAAGGGCTACTATAAGGGCTATTGCAAGGATTTAGTATAGGTACTATAGGGGCACTAACATCGCTCTAGCGTCGGTTGGTATGTTGCGTAGTATATGATTACCTGGTACCAAAGGTGACACTGCTTTTTTGGACGGCGCAGGGGAAGTGTAGATTGACTGTGTATGCTGTTGATGGACAAAATCCCGCATTGCCCAGAATAAGGAAGAAACCATAATTCCCATAGCTTAGAGTCCTTAGGGTCATGCAGGATTTTGTCCATCAGCAGTATGTCAGTTTTTGTCAATCAAGGGTCTACGGTTTCGAGCCCAGAGCCTTATACACCGTTACGCAGTATGCTGCGTGTCGCCATTACCCAGTCTGCTGCTACGATCATGCATGGTTTAGGGTTTAGGGTTTTAGGGTTAAGGGTTTACATGTTTAGGGTTTGGGGTTGAACCATCTGCGAACCCATAGTGGGGAGTAGTTCCAACAGGATTCACTAGCCCGATGTGGGAGCTTCAGCACCTACTGCTACGGTTGATGATATATACATATATATATATATATATATATATATCCTGCACTGTCTTAATGACCCTAGACTATGGGAATTATGGTATATTCCTTATTATGGGTAATGTTGGAGTTGTATCATCAACCGTAGTTCTTCCGCTGAGGTACCTCCTGTCCCTCGCAAGTGTGGTTTCAGGTTCGCGCTGGCCCGTCTCTCCAAAGATCTTGCACCTGCATCGGCGAAGCCACTGGCTCAAGAGTGCTGCCGGGGCTGCGAAATGACAATGAGCCTTGGATGCCCTGCAGAGCTTTAGGGCTCAGTTAGGGCTTGGGATTATACAGGCTGGTTCGGATCGCCACAAGAAGCATACATTTAGCTTTCATGTGAACCCTGAACCCTCAACCAAAACCCTCACCCTGATTCCTAAAACCCGAACTCTGAGCAATCCCAGATCCTAAATCCCAACACCCCGCAAATCACGGACCTTGAAACCCAAGCCCCGAAGCCCTAAGCCCTTACACCCAGAATCCAGCCCTTCGTAAGCTTTTAAGCCTCAGTGCTTTGCCACCGACAGTTTCGGGGCCGCGGGGTCGAAGATTAAACTGCGACAGTGGCCCTTCGACTCCTTCAAATCGGTGGTAGTGGTAGCATATGTAGTACCGGTTCTTCTGTGGGTCTGTAATTTTGATGCAGGGGATTCACGTCCAAGCCTAACTCAGTGGCGCAGTAGTAGTGCATGATAGTAGTCGTCGTAGTAGAAGAAGTAGTCGTGGTAGCTGCTGCTGTCGCCGCCGTTGTTGCGGTCTTTGTTGTAGCCCTGAGTCCTAAACCCTAAACCCCAAACCCTAAACCCCTAAACCCCTAAACCCCTAAACCCCTAAACCCCTAAACCCTAAACCCTCAACCCTAAACCCTAAACCTAAACCCTAAACCCTGAAATGCCAAGGGCTCGTAACTTGATGGTGGCGCCTGAGGCCGGCGATCCATGTGTCTCAGTGGTAAGCAAAGTCCCTCAACTTCTAGGATGCCCAGTAGTACCCTTATTCCCTTTTTGTAGTCCTAGGTTCCTTATAAAGTTCCCCAATGCCAAAAAGAGAGGCCTTTTTATTCTTAGGTTACTGGGTATCCTAGACTTGAAAACACACCAGGACAGGTCAAGGGCCCTTTAATAGAGTCCTTAGGGCCCTGAATAGCGGGTATTTAGGTTGTATTGGAGGGTAGTTTTGGGGGTCTAGGCAGGTAGGACTTAGGGTTGAAGGTTTGGGTTTAGGGTTTGCATTGGGGTTAGGTGAAAGCTGGTTTTCTGTAGGACTGTAGGCTTCATGGCTTGGAGCTTCGGATTGTGGCCTTCCTGACCATCCTAGATATGAGCTGTCGCTGCTTTTCTGAATCGTCCGCATATTTGCAAAGAATAATGACCAGACAAGGAACTACATCATCGGTCCTCTGACTCCGTTGCGTGCCAAGAACGATCTAAAACGAACAAGTAGGGCTCGTCATGTCAGCCCCAGACAGGACACTTGATTTACCCTAAACCCTAAACCCTGAAACCCTAAACCCTAAACCCTTCACCTCAAGCCTCAGTTGCTGCAGTGTCTAATGGGGAGACAGGTGTTGAGATCCCATCCCCTGATCTTCCAACCCTGCTTAGAAGCCAGAAGGCCTCTTTTATAGAGTCCTTATGGCCCTTAATGGTGGGTATTTGGGTTACATTAGAAGGTAGTTGGCGGTGGTCTAGGTATAGGGTACCCTAAGCCCGAAACCCTAAACCCGTATCTCAGCACCAGTCATGCTTACTTGGCGGCCCAGGGGCCTTAGTAAGTAGGTTATAAGTAGGGTTATTATTGGTAAGTAACCCTACTTATAGCCTACTTACTAAGTTCCTTGGGCCTTTAAGTATAGCCCATAATCCATCTTGAGGGCCCCCCTAAACCGCAGGCATAGGATTCTGTATACGTTGTTTGGCTTGGTTGGGTTCGGACATGGACTCGGTGTTTACTTGGAGGTTCATGGGTAGTCATAAGGGTTCCTTTAAGGGTCCCTTTAAAGGGATCTATAGGGATTCTATACGGGTATAGGGTTTATGATTCAGGGGTAGTTATGTGTAGGGTTATAAGTAGGGTGGCTATACTTATAACCCGTAACACGGGACTTATGACCCTACTTATAACTACCCCTGAACCTCCAAGTAGGGTTTAAGGGTTAAGGGTTTAGGGCTAGGTGTCAGTTTAGGCCATGAGCCCCGAACCTGGCACTCCAAATCTTTGGCTTTTGGGGTTTAGGGTGGTGTTTAGGGGTGTTAAGGGGCTTAGGACTTCGGATTTGGGGTGTATTGGATCACTTCAAGGGGACGATCGATGGGAGATGGTGGGAGTTACAAGGGCAGGAGCAGTGACAAGGGGTGTTTATCCATTGCAGTGCCGCAACCCACTTGGGCGACTACGGTCCGTTGATGCACAAACAACTTACATTTGGTTATATAGTAGGGAATGGAAGAATGGTAGTAATGGTAATTATAATTGTGCCCCATTCCTCCATTCCCTACTACAAAGGTAAGACAAGCAAGATTCGGTGTTTGTTTCGGATCTTAGACCACCCTCACGGGAACGCTGAAGGAGCGCTGAAAGCCTGAGCCCCTCATCCCTGAATTTCCCATAGCCTCGAACCTTTTCAAAGCTCTTAAAGGCGCCCCTAAACCCGAAACCTTAGACCTTAAGACCTGAATTTCCCAGAGCCCTTAACGAATTCAAGGCCCTTGGAGGAGCAGGAGACCCCCCTTAACCTCTCTAGGCTTCAAGCCCTTCAGCCGTGAAACCCTGTCTACCTCTACAGAAGCCTTGAAGGTACCCTCAAGGAACCCTACATCCTAGACCCCGTAAAGCCCTTAATCTAGGGGCTTATACCATACAATAAATATGAGAAGGAGCCCCCAAAACAGTATTGGCAATTCTCTAGGCCCCTACGCTAAGTCCTTATAATCGCCCTTGTAGTAACCCTGATAGACCCCTTTGACGGAACCCTTAAAGGATCCCTACTCTACTTACCTAGGCCCCTGCATTACACCCTCTGCACAGGCTCCTGCTGCTCCTGCTGATTCGCAGCCGTCAGGCGGCGATGCGGCGGCAGAGCCGTTGATGGAGGAGCCTGGCGATTTAATCTAGGGGCCTTAATAATTAGAATAGGGTTCCTTTAAGGGATACTATAAGGGGTACCGTAAGTGCTTAGAGTTTGTACTATAGTTACCTATACTATTATGGGGGGCTCCTTCTTATATTATAGTCATAGTATAATGGGCCCAAGACCCTATTCTAGTCTAATGACTCAGGCCCCTACATGACGCTGCAGTAAAGAGGCGTCAAAACCCGATGTTCATCTGATACTAGTTCTAACAGGATGAATAAGAATCATATGATAATAGAATCTCGTTCGTGTCTTAATACCGCCGGAAGACGCAATTCACATCATTAACAAAGCCCCCAAACCCTCAGCCCTGAACTTAAGACGCAAGAGCGTCGAGACTCAGCCGGCACGGGCCTCGGGTAGCTGTGGAAGATCTTTGGGGTGAAGGGTGTGGGGTTGAGGGCGTTTTCTCGAGAGCCTTAGCTCCAATGGACTGCAGAGTTAGGTTTCTCCAGGGTCTGAATTATATGGGTCTGGTAGGGCTG